CCCCCCCCAACCCCCCCCCCCCGGTGCCAACGTGCCCAAGGACAGACCCAGGCTGGGAAAGGGACAATCTGGGAGGGGGAATGCTGGGGGAGGGGGTGTGTGGGGGTTGCAGCAGCACGAGGGACCAGCACCATCGGCCCGTGTCAAGGACAAATTATTCTAATGAGCTTCCTCCCGTAACCCAACCACCCGCAGAAGGTGCACAGGAAAATCCCGGGCTGCTTTTGTAGTGTCTCAGGGCTGGGAGCTGAGGGGGGGGCACTGCGGGGTCATCTCTGCCTTCCCACACGTGCCTGATCCTCATTGAAGGGCCCATTGTGCCCCTGATGGTGCCAAAGTGACACTTTTCCCAGGCGTGACCTGAATTATCAGAGCCCAGGGGCTCCTCCTCGACCCACATGGTGAGCTTGGCTTCCCAGGCAGGAGGGACACATGGACACAGCCCAAAATAGATGCTGCTCCTTGTCCCCAGGCTGAGGTCCCCAGCTCCTGGCTGGGTGCAGATAAGGAGGCAGCGGCAGGAGCAGGGCTGGCTCTGGCACATGGGATGCAGCCAGTAAATTTCCACTGGGGCAGCTCCCAGTTAATGAGCTCAGTGCATGACCCCGGCCAGAGCTGGAGCTGCCAGCGATGGAGAGGAATTCCCCAGGAAAGCTGGGATGGGAGGGGATGGGGACCCTTCCTGCGGGAGCATCCCCTGCACCTCCCCAGCCTTTACACACATCAACGCCCCGGGGGTGAAGAGTTAAAGGTGGTAAAAAGGAGGCCTGGGGGGTGTAACTTGACTCAGGGGTGACATCTGTAAGTGAAAAAGTGGGGATTTTGGGGTATGTGAGAGCACCAGCTCACCCAGCACTTCCTGCTGCCATTGAACCCTCACCAGCCCCCGGAGCATCACGTCCCTGCAGGTGCTCCTGCGGTTGTACCAGCTCCAAGGTCAAGGCTGGTGAGCCAGGATTGAGCAGAGCCCTCCCCGTTCCCCCTCACCTTTCAAACAGAAAGCCAAGGCATTGGGAAGACACTCAGTTGCTGGATTATTTCCTCTTTCTCCCCGTTTTGGAGGTAGATCAGAGCCCAGAGCTGAGGTGAGGTCCAGCTTGAATACGGACTCGTCCTTTCCACAGGTGATCAAACAAGACCTTTTGGACTGAAAACCATTGAACCTGGGACTGTGACCCTCTGGGAGAGCAGGAGAACCCCAAGCAGGCAGCACAGTGACCACTGAAGGAAAACAGAAGCTGTTTAAGTGCCCAGGATGGTACAGAGCAGTTACTGGAGTGGTTTTGGCTTCTATTTTAACGTGGCTGCTCCAGCCTCGCTGGGCAGCAGCCCCAGGGATGCTGCAGTCAGGACCAGAGCAACCAGCCGTGGTGAGAGCAGGAGAAAAGGACAGAGTCTCCACACAACTGAGATGCTATTTGCATCCTGAGCTTCAGGCTGATGATTCAGCCCCACGGGTGGAGGTGGGAGCTCCAGCAGCTCAGCCAGGCTCATCCCCAGGCCCTGCTCCAGATCCCCACGGATGTGACTCACCCCCCACACCTGCCAGCTCAGACATCAAAGCCAGCCTGGCTCACTGGGAAGAAAAGGGACTTGAACCAGGTCTGGACCCTTCTCAGCAGCCCCAAACCTGTTGGGATGAGCCACCATCACCGTGGGAGTCCAGCATCACTGATCCCAAGGGAAGCAGAAGGACCTCAGGTGGTGGTGCCACCACCTCCAAGCCCTCCTGCTGCCACACTCATGGGACTCCCCTCTAGAGCCAACCTCCACATCCACACCACCCACTGGTGCCTCTTGGAAAGCAATTTTCCAAAAAAACCCCCAAACAACCAGGAGTGGGAAGACACCCAGCTCCTCCCACCACATGGAGAGGCTGATCCCACCAGAGCACCAGAAAAGTTGCTCCACAGCCACATTCCTGGGCAAAGAGACAGAAAATTGATGGCCCACACCAGCACCTTTTCCTTCTCTGTTTCTTACCCACTGCTCTGATATTTAACTCCCTCAACTGACTCTGTTCCTTTAAGTTTCCTGCTCTCCAGATCCATGGCAGCCATTTATCACCTTTCCCTTTTGGAGTTTTCATGCAGTGAGAAGCACTGAAAAGAAATAGACAACCTTATTGTTTGCTTGTTTTTTCCAATACAGTGAATTTATTATATGTTGCAAAATCAGCATTCAGCTTTTTTTTTTGTTTTTAGTGTACAAAAAAAGACACTAGCTCTTAAGAAAAGATTAGGAAAGCTGAAGACTATGCTGCCTTGAAATTGTAACATTTTGGCAAAGTGAAAAGCTCTTTTGTAAACTCCAAAACTCCATGGCTCAATATAGTTTTATCCACAGTACAATATTACAAAGTAAAACACAGTATCAATAAGTTAAGATCATACTTAATCACCTAGAACTGGTTTCTATCAACCCAAAAAGCACAAATTTTTGCCTAAGCTTCAGAATTTCTAAAAAGAAAAAAACAAAACAAAAAACCCAACAAACGACAACGAAACAAAACAAAAACAGAAAAAAACAAACAACAAAACAAGGCAGATTCGACTACAATTCTTTTAACACAGTCCAAAAGAAAAAGTGAAGCAGGAAGTTGTTGAATGCTAATTGGGTCTCACAGTTTGGATATTCATTAATTAAATATTTTCAGGGTTTTCTTTTTATATTCAAATTTTAGAAGTTCCAGAATATACATGTAAATGTACACAATACATCTTTGTATACAACTCTGTTTGCAAAAATATCTTATAGCAATACCGTAACTGCCAAAGCAACAACAACAACAAAAAAAAGCCCAGTCAAAATATTAAGGATCAGGAGAAGTGTTTCCATGGAAGAGTTTACTCATCCTGGGTTTGTAGCTGCTGCTTTTTCTGCCATCTGAGTTTCAGGCTCCTCAGGCACCGTGGTTGGAGGTGAAGTCCCACCAAGCCCCATGGCTCAGTGCTGGGAAGTTCAGCCTTGCCACCAGGAACAGCAACTTGGTGGCACTGAGGGTGTTTTGCAGTGACAGATCCCACAGCAGGTCTGGGAAAGCACCGTGTCCTGGTTCCTCCAGGCAGTAGGACCCTCTCCCACATCCCTGCTGCACCTCCCCAGCTCTGGGAGGTCTGTTGGAATCAGGGGCTTGAGCTTGGATGTGGCCACCAGCCACTACTTCAGGAACCTGGACACAGACCAGGCACAAGACCCCACCCAGCAGGAGGACAATGTTTTCTGGACAAAGCTCCTCACCTTGAACTCTGGTGTGCTCTCCAGCTTTCCCTGAGGAGCAGGGAACGGGAGGCAGGCAGTGACACCCCCCACAGGAGACATGGCTCCCCAGCCCATCATCTTCACTGGGAGAAGAGATGGGACTGAAGCATTCCCCAAGCCCTGGGCTGCTGGTGGGGCCTCCCCAGCCAGGCTCTCCAGGGTCCTCACCCCAGGGAGCACCACACTCCTGGGACATCATCACATCTCTCCCTGCTCCGCTTCTCACCAGGTTTGGGCTCCAGCCCAGCAGAAAAATGTGGATTTCCAGTGGCATTTGGGGTGCCCCATGGCCCCAGCTCCACCACAGCCCTTCAGCCCTGGGGGACGGGGTGACAAGGGGGTGACAAGGGGGTGACAACAGGGTGACAAAGTCCTGGATGTCTGCAGGGAAGGTGGCAGGGAGAGGAACTCAGAGCACTGCAAGTGACAAAGCAAAGCTGTGGCCCTGGCTGGACGATGCAGCAAAGCCCATCTAGCCAGAGTGGAATTAGTATTATTAATTAGTAATTATGATGATTTTCTTGGTTTAATACAGCAGATGGACCCTTTCTTTTTTTTTTTGAGGGGGGTGGGGGAGTGGTTGGAAGAAAAAAAACCAACTTGTTGTGTAAGAACTGTTTCCCTGCCATTCTGCTCCTGGAAAGGGTGAAAGACTCTTCAGTGCAACCTCCAAGGGAAGGAGACTCCACAGGAAAATGATCCTTTGGGATAAATGGAAGCAGGAAGAAGTCAACCCCCCCCCCCCTAGGCTGGCAGGATCCAAAAGGGGAGAGGGGAGAGAAAGAAACAGCAGAGTTAAAGGGACACCTTTGTGCTTTCTGGCCTGTTTCTCACACCCTGGCCATACTCAACAACAACAGCAACAACAAAAAAAAGTTCCCTTCAAGTCCAAAAAATAAAAAAACCCAAACAAAACAAATGCAGAAGAAAGAGGCTGCACCAAAAGCTGGCGAGATAAAGCACAAGGGTGGAAATGACCCCCATGGGAAAAAGCTGCCTCGCTCCTCTCACGCTCCGAGAACGATTTTGTTGCTTCTTTGGGAAGTAACACAAAGAAACAGGAGGAGAAGGAAGCATCACCCACCCCCCCTTCACCCCCCTCTCCCCTATTTTGGGTCAGCACAGGTAATAAAATAACTTTGCAGGGTAATTAACTCATCAGGTTCAGTAATACTGCAGTTTATAGACAGGGAAGGTTCTGAAACACCTGAAACACCAGGGAAGGTTCTTGGCCTAAAAGGAAAAGGGAGGCACAGGTTTAGAAAAGAGATACTCTTTTTTTTTTTTGCCTTTTTGTTTAAATACAAAAATAGACCTTAGTCTTGTTAGCAATTCATAAAATTGGCTGCCTTGGTATAAAATTCTAAAAGTCAAAAGACAGGTCTCAATCTTCCCAGCATTGGTTAATGGTGCTGGAGAGGCCACTGCAAAATATGGAGCAATTCTTGACCAACGTGGCTGCTTCCAAATGCAAAAAGCAGGTTAAAGAAAAGGAAATTCTGTTTTTTTAGAACATGATCCCCCTCCTACTGCCCCAACCACCTGGAGAGAGCACACACTGGAGCTGACAAAGCAGGAGCAGACAAGGAGAGCTCTGGGAACGTGGTGTATTTATGGGGTGCCATGGAGAGCAGACAGGTTTGCACATCAACAGTCGCAGGTGCCAGAGGAGGAGATAACCCAGCAGCATTCCAGTTCCTCACCATTGGGAAGGACAATTTGGAAACCCAGACAACCTGGGCCAGGGGGTAATTACACTTCATGCCAAACTTTAATCCATGAAAACTACTGATTCTTAAACCTTTGGGAGCTTCGTTCACTTTAGGTCAGTTTTCCCTTAAGTGTCAAACGCTGCCTTCAAAATAAGCAGATTATTTGTCTCCTTTTTTTTGTTTTGTTCTTTTTCTTTTTTTTTTCCTCTTTTTTTTTTTGTTTTTGTTTTTCTCTTAATTTGTTACATTCCAACAATCAGAGAGGCTAAAACCCAAGAGGACCATGCTGGGCACAAGGGCTTCCAACCCAGCTCAGCTTCAGCAAATCCCCAAAGTTCTTCAACCACGAGGAATTAACGCTCATCTCTGAAAGGGATCTAAGTTGTAGAAAAGGGAACATAACGTCCAGGTGACTCTTTCTTTTGTTGTGTTTGCCTTTTTTTTTTTTTTGCCCTACCCAGTCCAGGTTGGTGCCAGCTAAAACTGCTGCTGGTCATACTCTGCTATCAGTTTTTTGATATGAGCCAGTTTGTTGTGGAGGTATTCGCAGCGGTTCTTCTCTTGGCTGTAATTGGGGTTAGTCTGCAAAGGAAAAAGGAAAATGAAGGGATGGAAAAGAGTTTTTTCACCACGTGGTGACAACTACACTGAACTCAGATCACAGAATCATGGAATGGGTTGGGTTGGAAGGGACCTTAGAGGTCATCTAGCTCCAAACCCCCTGAATGGGCAGGGATACTTCCCACCACCCAGATGAGGCTACAGAACTGTAAATGTGACCCAAGGAATGAAGGTTTTCATATAATCATAGAATGGTTTGAGTTGGAGGGGACTTTATAAATCTTCTGTCCCAGCACATGGAGCAGCTTTTCCAGCAGCACCTGCTGGTGCAGGATCAGCCCCTGAACCTGCTTTGAGTCATAGACCAGTTTGGTTTGGAAAGGACCTTAAACATCATCTCGTCCCAACCCCCCTGCATGGGCAGGGACACCTCCCACCAGCCCAGGTTGCTCCAACTCCACCTCAATCGCAAATCCCTCCAGTCAACACACTTAAGAGATGTGAAGCATTCTGCTTGCTCACACCCCCAGAAGCCCCGGGGGTGATTCACATTAGATCCTGCCCCCAAAGGCCACCCCACACACCAGCAGCCCCCCAGACCTGTTCCCCTTCAGCTTGTGTATCTGAAACACAAACTCTTCCTTCCCTGGCAGGATAAACACACTCATTTACCATTGAGTTTTTGTGCTAGCAGGGCACTAGCACAGCTGAACACTGCCCAGGATCCAAGGGGCAGGCACAGCTCCCTCCAAAACCCTTTCTGATCACTTTCCGGAGAAGCTGGAGCTGAACAAAGATCTGCTATGAAACTTCAGGGACTGGGTTTTACACTTGGCAAGTACCCATCTCTTTCAGTTCCACCAGGGGCACCACCCAAAAGCCTTTTTTGTAGCCAACTATTTTTACTTACCTTTTTAATTTTCCGATACTCCTGTAAAATTTGATCATGGATGGTCTAGAAAGGAAAAGAGAGCTTATTATTTTCAAGACTCAATAGTCCTGCAACTTACTGCAGTAAGCAAGTATTGACTGATGGCTCAAAGTACACATTTCCTCCCAATACTGACCAAAAACCTGCTCCCTCATGAGATCTGATGGCTACTGCCACTGGTGCTGAGACCAGAAGCACTGGGAAGGATCCAGGTCCCTTTCCCCAGCCATGAGAACTACCTGCAACAGGCACTTGGGCTGCCAGGATAATTGACATTTCCTCCCCAGCTCAGACTGATTTTTCCCCAAGATGTAAAAATAATTCCAGTGAGAAATCACCCAATTTCTCAAAGAGAGGGGCAGGATGTTTGAGGGAGGAAACAGTGCTTAGCACAATAGGTACTCTGTGAAAATCTTGTTTATTGGACTCATTGAGACTTTCTCAAGATATTGAGTAGTTCAAGTGCTTTTAAAATCAGTCTGACAAACTGAATGATCCTACATGATGAAGATCAAAGATTGCAGAGGAGCAATGACCCCGTCCTCACTCCCCTTCCAGCCCAGATACACTCCCATATGTGTGAAGATGAGTTTTCTGGCTGGGATACACTAATAGCTTCCAGCAGCTTTTGGCTAAAGCAGCCAATTGTCTCACTGAGGCCTTTCCTTGTCAACAAGTCCCATGATGTGTGCTCCAGCTTGAAAAGGAAAGAGCACAGAGCTGTTTTAAGCCCAGTCTCCCAAGCTGCCAGCCGTGTGCACGTTCTGCACCCACTCCTGGGCTCAGCGCAGCCCGTTGGAGCCACCAACCCACTCCCAACAGCCCCGTGGACAGAGCAGCTACACCAAGGAGTAGCAGGAGCTGGTTGCTACTTGCAGAATGAGCTTTTCAGAGGATGTGTCTGCTGTTTCTACCTTATATTCTTCAGAGCCCTGCAGGAGCTGCTTCAGCTTGGCGTCCAGCTGCGTGAAGCGCCGCGTTATCCGCTCTATCCGGGCGTGCAGGTCCCTGTACTCGCTGTACTCGGCGTTGAAGTCGTTCTTGTAACTCTGGCGCTGCTCTGAGGAGGAAATGGCTGCATATTTTCTGCAGGGAGAAGAAGTTAATTGCTTTAGTTAAGTCTCCCCAGACAGGGCCAACACTGCCACGCCAAGTGCAGGGTGATAAGCCGACCAGGTGGCTGCACTTGAAAACAAAGACGGTCTCTTCCAATTTGTTTTACTGAGGTACCCGACAGGATTGTTGCCTTGACTTCAACAAGACACTGTTTGCTCCCAGAATTTCCTATCTCTGCCAGATAGGCTGGAATATGCAGGTACAGCAAAGCCTGGGAGCAGCTGGGGGTGTAGGAGGACATTCAGATAGCACTGCTAGAGTTTTTCTAACTCCTGCTGTCCCGCAGAACATGGAGTTCTGCATCTGTGCCAGACCTTGGAACAGCAGGAATAAAATGCTTCCAGTGTTAAGGCTCTTGAAAGGAACACAAAAAGCATTCAGCTATCGTTGCAAAATGCTCACAGCACAATTATGTGGCAAGAGCACAAGAAGAAACCATGTTGAATAGACCAACTATGTTTCCACCACCTTCCAAAGACACCCCACGGGAACTGAGCGCCCCAGAGCTCCTGTTGAACAGAGGCACCTTTGAGGGCCCTTTCCAAGTTCTGCAGCTCCACAAAAAGCCATTAAACCCCACATTTTGCAGGAAGCCCAGCAGTCAGTCCTCTCTGATGGTGACACTCATCTTTTCCAGGGTGATGACTCTTTAATTTGCCACCTTGTGCTGCCTGCAGCTGTGCCAGCTCAGTGCGTGACCACGTTTAAGCTAACTAAGGTACCAAATTAAGGGGAAGCTTTCACTCATTAACATAAATGCTCTCCAGCCTTCAAGAACCCAGTCCTTGCTAGGGGTTGGTATAAATAACCACCTACTCAGGACACACTACTTTGAGATGGGGAAGTTGTCCCCACCAGGATGAAACACATGCCTCTTCAAACAGCAGGGACAGCTCTTGTAATTTAAAGAGCTGGCCATCAAAAAACCTCATAGTAGCAAAAGGTGAGACAAGCAACCTTACAGGAGATCATAAATGGCCCAGGATTTCTTTGGAGATGGACCAAGGAGCTGGAAGATCCCTCTACAGGAGGGATCAGTATGTCTGTTGTAAGAAAAAATCCTCCAGCCATCTGCCTTCTTCTGAATGGTGTCAGCAATGCCAACTGGGAGCGGTTTGTACAGCCCAGCAAACCACAGTTTTGTAACCATGCAAGAACCCCAAGTGTCCTCCAGCCAACTCCAGGGACTGCTCCTGCAGAGCCAAGAGTGGATGCCTTCTCCTCCTCCTCTTCCCTCTGAGTGATTCCAGCACAGCCAAACCAGATCTGATGGCATTAAAACCCCAAAGTGGTGCATGGGGAACATCACCCGCAGTGACACTTTCTGGCTCTCTCAGGGCTTTGTTTCTAACAGGTTGGGCTTGATGCAGATTTTTGGCTGGATGCAGAATTTTGCCTTCATGCACAGGCATTTCTGTGCTTCAGCAGATGAGTATATTGTTTAATTAACCTCAAGGGGATCTGATTAAAAAGTCAAGAGGTGAAGCAGCTCACATCCTAACCCATGGGTTATAACCTCCCCATGAAGAATATTTCACTGGTTTATGTCGATGATCTTGGCTCTGAAGAGGGGAAGAATTTGCTAACCTCTCAAAATCCTTCCTTGCCCTGTCTCCCTTAACATTAGAACAGATCATTTCCTCTCAGTTTCCAACTGTAACATGGAGATGTTTAATCCCTTCAAAACCCCTCCAAGGTATGCAACTTCTCCTGAAATATTTCATGGACTGGTTTATAGGGACATAACCTTGAGCTCCAGGAGGAGGTGAAGACCCACCTTACAAAGTTCTATCAAGTAACAATAAAACCAACAAAAATCCCCATGACATTGTGTTTTTTTAGCTTGAAACATGATCCCTAAGTGATGAAGCAACTGATAAATATACTTACAATAAATAATCTGGCATTTCTGAAGTTGATGTTGGTACACTAGAATTATTGCATGTTCCATTTACACCTGAAAAAATAAAAGCTTGTTTATAGACATCCTTCAACTTTAAAGCTCTATGCAATTACACTTCAAATTCAAAACCTGATCTGCAATAGAAAGTGTATTGAATTCTAAAGGATTCATTTTGCTTTGAACTGACAAAAGATCCACAAAAAGGTGGGTGAAACTTCCAAGGCTCCTCTAATATTCTGTCAGCAAAGCAGTATCAACATGAGCCAATGCCCTGAGCAGCCAAAACCTTTCATTTAATTGGTTTATAAACACTGCCTGCAGAGAAGGATAACACTGATATCACCACTGAGCTGCAAAACAAATGTATGAGTCCAGATGAGCAGAGAGCTGAGCAAGGTGGACATTCTCCTCTACACTCTAGAGGTTCCTACTGTTAATATCCAGGTTCCAATTCCTATTGTTAATGCTCCAGACTCCTGCAGGGTAAGGCAGAGAGGTTTTCAAGGTGTGCAGCTTTTTCCCCCCTCTCAGTCCTGCAGAGAAATCCAAGTGCTCTGTGAAGCTGAATCAAGCAAAGCTCAGCTGTGAATGTGCACGAGCTGAAAGGAAGGGACCAAAGACCTTGGGAGGAACAGGATTCTGAATGTGAGCCTGAACCAGACACTGTCCTAGATCTCAACCAAACCCTGTGTAACTGATCCAGAGGAAGAAAGCAGTTGGATACAGGTTTGAAAAGGGCTATTTCTCCTACACTGTGAAAGCCCTGATCAGAAAGTCGACTGCACCCCTCAGAAGGCAGCAAAAATAAAGAGGCAGGAGGAGAAGGCTGCAAAAGATTGAACTCAACCTCTTTGCAAAGGTGTTTCTTCTTTCCAAGGCACTACTCAGAGCAAGCAGCACCTGGGTTGCACAATTCCCCAGGTGCTCAGGTGAGCCCCAAGCCTTGCCCAGCCCTCCCCTTCTCACTTCTTTACAGCTCTTACCCCAGATGAGCTGCAGGGAGCAAAAAATGCCCAAGGAATAAACACAGGGATGTCAAAGCAATAACCTCATTATACCATCTTTTTTAAAAACAGGTTTTTATCTGAATTTCCATGGAAAGGCTTTCCTGAGCACCATGGAGGAACAGCAGAAAACCCAGTGGCACTGGGAACATCCCAGTGTCAATTCCTGCT